CATCAGGTTGTTCTCGTCGGTTTTAGCACCTGACCAAATTTCAGTGGCTCAGATGTTTGTGAGTAGGTCGCTTCAATCACACACCACACAGATGTTTTTTTCGCCGCCGTGGGCAGCTGACTGTCGAGTAATGATGTTTTAATGAAATTACAGCTTTCCCATGCTGCCTCCCATCGTCTGGTGATTTCCCAGTCAAACGAGTTCATGCGGTCCACCTGCCGGCTGAGGTACATACGCACCTCATAATTAATTCGAGCTCTTCGCCATTCGCAAAACAGAGTCCTCGGGACGGGGCCCATTCTTCCTCCATTTAATTTTGGCGTCGTTAAACTCTCGTGCAATGTGAGAGACTCGTCTTGCAGCTGTTCGATCATTCGTTGGAGCTTAATCGCATCTTGGGCGAAGACAGTGCATTCGTGCGCAAATAACACGTACGTTGGACAAATGTCTGTAATGCCACGATGAACAGTACTGGTGATCACCCTGACGCATTTCTCGGCTGATAACGGATGCAGTTGTCACGAGGTTTGCTGAACAGCTTAATATCAGTCGTGGAACGAATGTTGAAGCTGACCTAATCAGGGCTTATGCCATATTCATGTATGGTGCTACAGTGGTGGTTACAGTACCATAACCTTCAACTCTAAATGCATCATGAAAATCTAAATAACAGCCAATAGAAAAACGATCATAACCCTGGCAAAACGCTAATTTTAATGACGATTTCTGTATGCAAAACAACTACCGCTGCGTCGAAAGCCACTGCATCGAGAAACATTATCAATTTATTTCTTAGATTTAAATGAAAAAACTAAAAAAAATTATGACGAAGATTGGCAGGGGACATCGCATGTCGAGGATTCCACATCCGTCGTAGATGGTGATGGCGAATCAGCATGATTGTTGCACTTCAAAAAGTAGCTACTATGAGTGCGAAAGAATAATCTCCTGATACAGCTGCTGTCAGTCATTCAGTGCCTATTCTTAAGTCAACTCATTCTGCATTTTCATCGAACAGTTGCAACAGCTTAAGTCGGATTGTTACCGTGCCAGTGACATTTAACAGTGTACTGTGGTTAACAGTTAGATGTCAAGCTTATGCAGGTCAGATTTCTTGGCAGAACAATACAGAGCTGCCATGAGGACGAAAACTGGTCATCGCAGATTTGTTGCAAATGGCTACCGTGTTGTCCGTTCTAAAGATCATGCATAATAAATATAATGCTTATGCCCTATTAGCCTTTGACGACGATGACGGAACACCAGCCACAAGCAACCTCCAAAGCACTTCATAGCCATTGTCTCTGAAGCGAAATTCGAAACGACCTTCCACCTTCAAGTGATGACAGACATACTGGACTTGTCCACCTGTTTTAACTCAATTGTTTGAACGTATATGCTTGAATAACCACAATCACATTCACTGTGCAATTGTTTCGTTACAAGTATGAGTCGAAAGAAGAGGGTAACAAAATCACTGACAAACTTGCACACATAAAAGTATATTACCACTCTCAAAGACTCATGACTAAACTATTTACAAGTAACCTTCTCTATTCACCTGGCTGTCGAAGAACCCTGACGAGAAATGGTATAACTGACTGCCGATAGAGCTCTGTACGAGGGGGGAATAGCTGAAAATAAACTGTTTTCACATGTTTGGAAGATGCATTCATGCATTTCATAAGTAGCGAGTTTTCCAAGACGACAGGCCGCTTTGATCCTTGCTGTTGCGATTTGATCAATTATTTCCTCGGCACTGATACGGGAGATCATCATAACCGCTCTTCTACGTTATCGATAATATTTTTTTATTAAGTCAGTAAATATTACGGGGCCTGCGTAAACCAAGGACGGTACCAGGCAACAGAAAACAAATGGACGATTTAACTCTAGATCGGTGATCTTATCAGTCGCGGCATACAGATCCTCTGAGCAATTTCATTTTGAGAACATTGAGAGAACGTGATCCGACCAGTTCAATTTGTCGTTCAGTAGGATTCCAAAATATCTCAGGGTACTGCTGGAAGTAAAGGCCCCTCTTCTATAGTGTTAGGGTGATGGATTATTGCGAACAGTATGTGAAGGTCAGCTGGGCACTCCTCCTGCGGCGTAGTATTTTACCGTTGATTTTGACCTCCGGCTCGACTTCATTTGCTGCGTCTTATATTTTTGACAAGCCGGTTTTATTTTCGATGGATGCGGTTAGAACCAAGCCGATCCGCATAAACTTCATAAACGAAACATGATACTCGGCTGGCGGTACAAAACCACTCAGGTAGAAATTGAAAAGCGATGCAGACAGAACGCCGGGTTATTCGCAGCGATTCGTGAACAGTACTTCCCTATGGCATTACAATGATGTCGGTGTGAGGAACAGTCCGAGGAGTTACTAACGGTATCGGCTTTTTTGC